ATATTATACTTAGCTTTTTTGGCTTCTGATCGCAAATGTAGCCCAAACTTTGGAGCACTTAGACTAGCGAGCAAGGTCCTGGCAGATCGCAAGGTCCGGTCCTCACAGATGAAGAAAAAAAAGGCGCATAGGAATTGACAGGCGGAATCGAAATTTTAATTTGACAACAAGTATCCGATACTGGAATCGGAATCGATTTTCGATTCCCAACCCTATTTCCGCTTGATTGCTCAACATCCCGATATGGGCATGGAAGGAGCGCAATTTCTTTACACCGCCACACTATAAAAGAATAGCTTCCTTAGAACCAGGATGGTGATTCCAAGATTAAGAATGACTTGCAGATCTGATTCACTCACCACTGCAGACGGATCTGATACCCACAGGACTTCCCGTCTCCCACCGACTCTGCCCGTTCTGCAGCCACCCTCTCTGCAACCTAAGCACAAGTACATACTCTTAACCTTACACCGTTTTAAAAAAACTGAAAAATACTTTAGTAGGAACACAGTTACTCTAGAAATTATGTAGGAAGGGTGGGATAAGCTGTTACTTTTTACTTTACTTTTTCCTCTAATCAAAAAATAAAAAAGAAGAGGAAGAAAAGGAGTTTAATTTCAAATAAATGCTGTTCATTTGAGCATTCTATTAACCAAAGAATCTAAAAAAATGAATCACGATTTCCACAAAAATATGAATCGCCACAACTGTTTTCAGAATTGATCATAATAAAAAATGTTTCCAAATCAGCAGGAATAAATTACATTCTGAAAAAATATTAAAATAGAAAACAGTTCTTTTAAATTCTAAAAATAACTCACAATATTACGGTTTTAACTGTGTTTCTGATCAAATATATGCAGACAGTATCTTGTACTTACAGATATGGCGCTGATACGCCTTGGCTGTGTGCAAACCACCCTGCAGAGAGAGCCCATGCCCCTCTCAATGAAGTCATCAAGGATGAACTGAGTAACCTGGGTGGTCTTCCCACAGCCAGTCTCTCCACTGATTACCAGTACCTGGTTAGCATTGATTAGCCTAACCAGCTCCTACAGTAAGACAAAGACAGAAAGGGGCATGAGAGAACTAAAAACTGTAACTTACACTGCGTGATCAGCTAACTGCTTTTTCACATTAAAACTAAAGAGTAAAAAAAGATGCAAAAATATCATCCATACAGATACAGATACTGTACAAGCACAAACAGCAATCACAAAAGGTGACATTTACCTCTCTCATCCCATAGGAAGGCAGCATCTCTCTGAATTTCTGAAAAAGGAAATGCCACAATAAAGCAAAGTCGCAGGCAAAAGTGTTTAGGTTTAGTGAAATATATTTCTGTCTGTCTCACCAGCATATCAAGGTATCTAGCATTATCTTTTTTCTTCTGCAGATCTCTCTTGAGCTCCTCATCCAGGGAGGGTATACGCACAACATCTTGGAATAAGTACTCCAGGTCAGTGTCATCAAGTTCCTCTTTCACACTTGCTCCCAACTCATCCTCATTCTCCTGTTTCTCCTCTTTAGGCTCAATTTTTGGCACTTTTACAATGTTCTGAGCTTCTGGAGGATCATCTCCATCAAAGTAACTGGAAGGCAGACACAGTTCTGTTAAGTCTGGAAAACACAATTGTATAATTCTTTGATATATCTATGATTTCCATGACTATGTGAACCCTGACGAGTGTAGAATATTGTATTTGCACCTGTGGCCACTGGGCTCCTCCTTCACCCTCCAGCTCCGAGATGTGGAGGGGTGCGCGTCTCTGTCTGCATCTCTCTGGACAGAGTTCAGCAGCTGTGTAATGTGCTGCTCTCGTTGTTCATCCATCTGAACAACAGCCCTCTGAAATGACACAACCATTCTCAGACTTTCTCTTTCTTAAAAATCCTTTTGATCTAAAGGCTTTTACTTAAACACTTGAACTAATTGTGCTCAAGAATCAATTTCTTACAAAACTGAACTCTTTTAGTACTTTTTAAAATGACTTTGTCCGTTGGTACAGTATACATGAACTCCTTCAGTATTGTTAATTTCATAAGGTTAAATATTTGTATTATTTAAATTCAGAAATTTTGTGTACTTATTATTTGCTATAAATAAAAAAAAAATTTAAAAATATCAATATTGTGTCAGCCACTAATGTATTTGTAGCTGTCTTACAGCAATCTTATAGAACACATTACCAAGAACTCTAATTCAACTATATTGCATACAAAAGAATCAGTCATCTTTGTAACCGCCTCCTACTCACAGATTTCCTCTCTGCCTCAGATCTTTTAATTCCTCCATACTTGGCATACCACAGTCCTATTTCTCGACCCTTCAAATGGGGTGGATGTTTGCCTCTTCCTCCTCTTCGTTCCCCTCCATGTCCCCGCTCTTCCCTTGAGTCCCACTCGGAGCTCCTCGTGTATCCTCCACCTCCACTGGATCCAGCCCCTCCATCCCATCTGGAACCTCCATCTCCGAAACGCCGACCCCCTCCTCTCTGACCACGTCTATTACCATACCCATGATTCATGCCGCTGGACTAATAAAGCACCGGGCACCGATCCCATTAACCAGAGCCGCTGCTGTAGTTCTGATGCAGGTTCAAAGATGATAAAGTCTTAAGATGCCACTGAATCTCATTTATTACTCCGTACTACATCCCAACATAACGTTACTTTCTCAAATATCTGTACTGTCGTACATATATGACGAACAGGTTTTAGCCGAGGCGACTAATAATGACGTTTGGTGTGCGATTGGTGCTGGCTGCGCATGCGCTGTAAATCAAAATTCCAAGCAGAGCGGCTGGCTTGATTTACCCCCTCCTCTCCCAAATCCTGATCAATTATAGATAGACTTGAGGTAGGCCTATAAAAAATAGACGTAATCTTGTTTTATTATTTTCTCAATCCTTAGTTTTAACTGGTCTCCCAGTCTGAGCAGCAGAAAAGAGGCCAAAACTAGCCAACAGTAAGTAAGCATGTATTCACAGTATGTATTTATTTAAAATTACTGCCTATGGCATCATAATACCATCGAAACACTAGAGTTACATGTTCAACAAAAGGAACAAAGGACGTCCTTTTGTATTGGAAGACCAGTGGCTGCACTCACCCATGTAAGTGACTTTTTCAAGGATGTAGGTTGAGGTGACCTCAACCAACATCCTTGAAAAATCCCCCATTTTGTCCCACTATCAACTGGAATATAATCAATTAACAATGTAACAAATTGTTCTTGTTATAAAATAAAATCATATACACACACACTCAGGAAACCTTTTTTTTTTTTTTTGTGGAGAAAATAAAAGGCTTTCCAAAACAGCGTGTCATGAGTGTCATGGTGAATCTTTTTAATGTTCATCTCAAGACCCAGAGACATTAATTATGTTCACACCGCATCTTCCTTGATTGTTTAATCTTTCAGATAAATCTCCAAGTCTAAGCGAAGTTGTCTCCTGTTTTCCTGCTGTGTTGCACAGCAAAAAAACCACCCAAAAAACAAATGGAATTAACAAAAGGAGCGGTGTGTTTACTCCTATTGAACGTTAAGACTTCAGGCAATTGTCGAATGCTTATACTCTAATTGGCCTATGCTCATATTGTCATTAGTGTCTTGTTTAAAGGCAGCGGGGCAGAGGCAGGGATTAACAGGGAGGTGTAACAGTAACTGTTTTAACAGAAAGCAGGGAGATAATTAGAACCCTGTGGCGTTGTGATGGGAGAACTGCGTGGGGAAGGTGCGGAGGACTTATCCTGCGGAAGCTTCCAGACCCTGTCATGAAATATGTATTAGATCTTTACAATCACAGCGAGTCTTCATTTTTAAATAGACCTGCACCCACCATTCTTTTTCTTCCGCTCTCTTTGTTGCTCTGTCCACACAATACCACAAACATACTCTCACCTTTTACTTGAATTGTATTTTCAAGAAAATGTGTAAACTTTCTCCAAGTAAAAATAGCATTGATTATCTGTTTGAAACTAGACCGTTTTTACTCCAAGGCCCCACATTGTCCACAACATTTTTCAAATAAAAGTGTATATTCTTTATAAAAACATTACATTTTAAAGGGGTCATATGATGTTGCTAAAAAGAACATTATTTTGTATATTTGGTGTAATGAAATGTGTTTATGCGGTTTAAGGTTCAAAAAACACATTATTTCCCACATACTGTACATTATTGTTTCTCCTTTCTGAAACGCGTCGATTTTTACAAAGCTCATTGGTCTGAAAAGCAAGGTGTGCTGTGATTGGCCAGCTATCCAGTGCGTTATGATTGCCGAATACCTCAAGCGTGTGACAAAAATGTTACGCCCCTACCATACTATGATGATGCCCTGTCAGGCCGGAGCAATGATTCAAAAACATGAAAACCCATTATA